TAAATAGGGCAAAAAAGAACAAATTCTGTCCGAGGTCTGTATGATAAAAAAAGGGCCTCGTAGTACTGTTTACCTGAGACGTGATGAGAAAAACTGTTTAAAAGGCTGGTTTACACGCCACCAGATTCGTCGCCAAGATTTACTAGTAACCTAAACTTGTCGAATACAAAAAATCCGGCCTGATTTTTTATTTTGGCCTCTCTTTTAGACAGAGGAATGCAACGTGTAAATTGGCTGCCACCAAACAAGGACTGTCGTGGCGCGTGTTTATATTTCGTGGTTGTCCAATTATCCATAGTCTCTCTAACGGAGCAATGTTCGAGAGACTGGTGAATGCCACATTATGATGCAACAGCTAATGCAAATACAATACACGAATAGGTCTATTTGTTTTCCAGGCCTAATCTACTGTGATCGAACATGATTGCTATTTTTGGGTGTACAAATAAGACTATTTAATAACTCGATGTAAAATTTGTTTCACTCTTGGACTGTCAAATTATTTTTCTCTAAAACCACTTAGCCTTTGCCTCAAAAGTCAAATGAATGTGCCCTAATCTGTGGATTACAAGTTTATTGTTTGATTTAAATTATGAATTTATTAAAGGGAGCTTCGCTTTTAGCCCTGGCTAAATCTATATATTAAACGTATGATAACGATGTGGAGGAATTTCTTGAGCGTTTGGTTCTTCATGTAACACGAGAGGTGAGCGTTTATTTATATCATTTTGTTTAGGGCTTATTTTATCTTTTGTTCACCGTATCCGGTTCTACGAACGCGGTTTACGGCGGATCTGTGTCTAAATCGATTAGATTATTTAGATTACACTGTATGTTAATGTTACTTTTATATGGTTGATGTAAATTTGAGAAGTTTCAAAACTTAGTAACTGATCAATGATTGATTTAAAATCTGGCTGTGTAGAGATATACACAGAGAGATTCGATGAATAACAATTGGGGATCGATTGATCTTTCACACTGTCACACACTGTGACACAACGCGCCTTATCAAACCGGTCGATGAGCTCGAAATGCATGCATATTTCGATACTTTATTTGACTGATGAAGTTTAAGGCTGATTGTTCGTTTTTGTTTGGAGATACATTAGCTCCTAACTGTCATGACAGCTCGGTGCCTTGTTTTCTAGCGGACGTAATTAGGCTAAATAATTTTGTGGCGTTTATACTTACTGGTTACTTATTAAGTACGCGCATGATTAGAAATCGGATGTGTCCAGAACTGAGAATTCTCGTCAATTTTCTTTTGGATTGACGATGAAATAATTAAAACTTTATAATTAAATTTAATTATATTACAACCCTTTAACACTTCTGTCAAAATGGCTGAACTATAAGAATAGTGTCTTTGTAAAATGGGCTGTGCCTAGACGACGCGTTCTTATTTCTTTTGGCTGGCTGTATCTGCATGTCTATTGCATTTTGTCTGTCAAGTCCGTGCCTGTGGGAATCAATTTTTAAAAATACCCCGAAAACAGTATTTAAAATCTATTTGAAAATATATTTGGTTGAATTTTTTTTCCTTTAAAGTATATTTTTTACCATTGAGACAGCCGGGTTTCAAGTTTTTCAAAACACCTCATAAATAGCCTGTTTAAGTTAGGTTTGGAAAAAGGTTTCCATTTAAATACCTTTTAAATTAGGATAGTTTTTGAAAATACTGTAAAAGCAGCCAGTTTTAATCCTGTTTGAAAACATTTCAAGGTGCTCGTCATTTCAAATCACAATTTAAATTGAACTTCCCCTTAAACCTTCTTCAAACATGTTTTAACTATGCTATTTATGAGCTGTTTAAGGTTGTAGACGGGGAAGTATATTCCAAATAGTCTTTAAACATCCTAATTCAAACCTGATTTTGAACTTCACTTGTAAAAACTACTTTTTAAATCTTTGATTTTAGGTTCTTGTTTCCAAAATGCAGTTTAAATCCGGTATTTGAAAACATTTTAGCAACCCGCTAGTACTCTCTTTCTGAAAATATAGTTTGAATACTGTATTTGAAATGTAGCTTTGATAGCAAATATGTTTCAAATACAAGGAAAACCTGGCAAAATGTTTTAAATACTATTCAAATAGATGTCAAATACAATTCAAGCTTCTAACGCTATTTTGGTTTTAGTCGCAAAATATTATAAAAATACCTCAAATTGTGGTAAAAATAGTTTTTAAACCGTTTAAATAGCTTTAAACTACTTCACAGACAGTTTTAAAATACAGTTGATTTGGTCATCCTCTCCACCCATTTATTACATGAATTTATCGTGAATGTAAAGTGCAGAATGCATGGATAGATCTTATAGAAAACCCTATATCTGCTTGTCGTTTAATTTCTCGAAACAATATTCTGCCAATGGAACATGTTTAACTTCTGTGAGTATGTCACCTCCCTCTGACTTCTATGAAAGAGTTAAATTTTTCCTGACTCATATTGTCATACATGTCACACATTAATATTCTGAGGAGATCCGAAGTACACTTGTTATTTTGATTTCTCAATCTCACAAGCTCATTTAAGTTTTGCACCCCTTTATGACTACCACTCACTACTCACCCCACCCCTCCCCATCGAACGCACTCCCCAAATTGGTAATTATTACCAGTATAAACCTATTGCGTTTTTTGCTCTTCTCGTTGCCGTCACCGTCACCGTCGTCCATGCTCAAGCTCCCTATTGTTGTGATCTGGTAATTTTGCTACCATGGTAATGTGACGTCACACGTCTCCTCTCTATTTTAAATAATTTTAAGGTCATCTTTCCGGAACAGCTAAGAACTGTGCTGAACTATACAAAGCTGGCAAAACAATCAGCGGTGTGTACACAATCGACCCTGATGGTGAAGGTGCCTTTGATGTGTTCTGTGATCAAAACACAACCGGAGGGGGATGGACAGTGTTCCAGAAGAGACTGGACGGCTCGGTTTCTTTTTATCGTTACTGGGATGACTACAAAAATGGGTTTGGTAACCTGAATGGTGAGTTCTGGCTTGGATTGGACAAAATTTACCGCCTGACGGAAAAAAAACGCAACCGCCTTCGAGTCGATCTGGAGGAAACTACAGGCGACACTGCTTACGCTGAATATGACATGTTTGCACTTACAAACGAAACGACTAAATACAAGCTCAGTCTAGGAATGTACTCAGGTATCGTGCTTGGAATGTATATGATTTTGATATACAGTATTTTGTGCTCGTGTCTTAATTATTCGTTGTATGTTTGTTCAGGTTAGCGGTTTCTTGCAAACTTGAAAACTTTTCTAGTAAGTTTCAAAAGGAGCTCAGTTACTTTCCAAACGTAGCCCCTATCTTGCACTTCATTCATGTATTCCACTCCAAACATTCCTGGTAAAATGACCTTGTATGAATCCTAGGAACTGCTGGTGACTCATTAACGTCGTTTCATCGAGACCAGCCGTTTAGCACTAGAGACCAAGATCATGATGCCGACCCAGAAAACTGCGCTGTGACCTACAGAGGAGCCTGGTGGTACTCTAATTGCCATCGTTCAAACTTGAATGGTTTTTATTACAATGGTTTACATTCATCATTTGCTGATGGTGTCAACTGGTATACATGGAAAGGATATAAGTATTCTGCCAAGAGAGCTGAGATGAAAATCAGACCGGTCAACTGTGTGCAATGTATGTACAGTATAACGTCGTGATTGTTTACATGTAACAAACTAAATGTCAAAATATCATGTCCCTGAAACTTTTTAGGAATTCCCAGGCAGAAAAATAACCATTTTAGGCTTAACTGAGTCAATATAATAAGTTGAATGTCAATAATATATAATTTCATTACTGAATTTTACTTGCCAACTATACATACATTCATTCTCGCAAGACCTAGCAGAGTAATATTTGATTCCACTAAATCATCATGAAGCTTGCAAGCCCTGGTTTTGTGGTTTTAATTGGTATTGCTATGTGTGAGCGAAAGAGGACGGACACAAAGCTTAAATAACATGACACATTTGGNAGGTATCGTGCTTGGAATGTATATGATTTTGATATACAGTATTTTGTGCTCGTGTCTTAATTATTCGTTGTATGTTTGTTCAGGTTAGCGGTTTCTTGCAAACTTGAAAACTTTTCTAGTAAGTTTCAAAAGGAGCTCAGTTACTTTCCAAACGTAGCCCCTATCTTGCACTTCATTCATGTATTCCACTCCAAACATTCCTGGTAAAATGACCTTGTATGAATCCTAGGAACTGCTGGTGACTCATTAACGTCGTTTCATCGAGACCAGCCGTTTAGCACTAGAGACCAAGATCATGATGCCGACCCAGAAAACTGCGCTGTGACCTACAGAGGAGCCTGGTGGTACTCTAATTGCCATCGTTCAAACTTGAATGGTTTTTATTACAATGGTTTACATTCATCATTTGCTGATGGTGTCAACTGGTATACATGGAAAGGATATAAGTATTCTGCCAAGAGAGCTGAGATGAAAATCAGACCGGTCAACTGTGTGCAATGTATGTACAGTATAACGTCGTGATTGTTTACATGTAACAAACTAAATGTCAAAATATCATGTCCCTGAAACTTTTTAGGAATTCCCAGGCAGAAAAATAACCATTTTAGGCTTAACTGAGTCAATATAATAAGTTGAATGTCAATAATATATAATTTCATTACTGAATTTTACTTGCCAACTATACATACATTCATTCTCGCAAGACCTAGCAGAGTAATATTTGATTCCACTAAATCATCATGAAGCTTGCAAGCCCTGGTTTTGTGGTTTTAATTGGTATTGCTATGTGTGAGCGAAAGAGGACGGACACAAAGCTTAAATAACATGACACATTTGGCGTGAGAGCAAGAATGTAATCTGATCAATTGTAACTGTAAAGGAAATGAGTCGTTTCGATACGAACTTAAGCTGTGAAACTGCAAAATTATTGCGATTACCTGATGTATAGTTATAGCGCGTGAAGAAGAAAAGCACATGTCGCGAAATATTGGTTGTTCACCTCGACTGAATCATGAATTTGTGGCGTTTATACTTACTGGTTACTTATTAAGTACGCGCATGATTAGAAATCGGATGTGTCCAGAACTGAGAATTCTCGTCAATTTTCTTTTGGATTGACAATGAAATAATTAAAACTTTATATTTAAATTTAATTATATTAAAACCCTTTAACACTTCTGTCAAAATGGCTGAACTATAAGAATAGTGTCTTTGTAAAATGGGCTGTGCCTAGACGACGCGTTCTTATTTCTTTTGGCTAGCTGTATCTGCATGTCTATTGCATTTTGTCTGTCAAGTCCGTGCCTGTGGGAATCAATTTTTAAAAATACCCCGAAAACAGTATTTAAAATCTGTTTGAAAATATATTTGGTTGAATTTTTTTCCCTTAAAGTATATTTTTTACCATTGAGACAGCCGGGTTTCAAGTTTTTCAAAACACCTCATAAATAGCCTGTTTAAGTTAGGTTTGGAAAAAGGTTTCCATTTAAATACCTTTTAAATTAGGATAGTTTTTGAAAATACTGTAAAAGCAGCCAGTTTTAATCCTGTTTGAAAACATTTCAAGGTGCTCGTCATTTCAAATCACAATTTAAATTGAACTTCCCCTTAAACCTTCTTCAAACATGTTTTAACTATGCTATTTATGAGCTGTTTAAGGTTGTAGACGGGGAAGTATATTCCAAATAGTCTTTAAACATCCTAATTCAAACCTGATTTTGAACTTCACTTGTAAAAACTACTTTTTAAATCTTTGATTTTAGGTTCTTGTTTCCAAAATGCAGTTTAAATCCGGTATTTGAAAACATTTTAGCAACCCGCTAGTACTCTCTTTCTGAAAATATAGTTTGAATACTGTATTTGAAATGTAGCTTTGATAGCAAATATGTTTCAAATACAAGGAAAACCTGGCAAAATGTTTTAAATACTATTCAAATAGATGTCAAATACAATTCAAGCTTCTAACGCTATTTTGGTTTTAGTCGCAAAATATTATAAAAATACCTCAAATTGTGGTAAAAATAGTTTTTAAACCGTTTAAATAGCTTTAAACTACTTCACAGACAGTTTTAAAATACAGTTGATTTGGTCATCCTCTCCACCCATTTATTACATGAATTTATCGTGAATGTAAAGTGCAGAATGCATGGATAGATCTTATAGAAAACCCTATATCTGCTTGTCGTTTAATTTCTCGAAACAATATTCTGCCAATGGAACATGTTTAACTTCTGTGAGTATGTCACCTCCCTCTGACTTCTATGAAAGAGTTAAATTTTTCCTGACTCATATTGTCATACATGTCACACATTAATATTCTGAGGAGATCCGAAGTACACTTGTTATTTTGATTTCTCAATCTCACAAGCTCATTTAAGTTTTGCACCCCTTTATGACTACCACTCACTACTCACCCCACCCCTCCCCATCGAACGCACTCCCCAAATTGGTAATTATTACCAGTATAAACCTATTGCGTTTTTTGCTCTTCTCGTTGCCGTCACCGTCACCGTCGTCCATGCTCAAGCTCCCTATTGTTGTGATCTGGTAATTTTGCTACCATGGTAATGTGACGTCACACGTCTCCTCTCTATTTTAAATAATTTTAAGGTCATCTTTCCGGAACAGCTAAGAACTGTGCTGAACTATACAAAGCTGGCAAAACAATCAGCGGTGTGTACACAATCGACCCTGATGGTGAAGGTGCCTTTGATGTGTTCTGTGATCAAAACACAACCGGAGGGGGATGGACAGTGTTCCAGAAGAGACTGGACGGCTCGGTTTCTTTTTATCGTTACTGGGATGACTACAAAAATGGGTTTGGTAACCTGAATGGTGAGTTCTGGCTTGGATTGGACAAAATTTACCGCCTGACGGAAAAAAAACGCAACCGCCTTCGAGTCGATCTGGAGGAAACTACAGGCGACACTGCTTACGCTGAATATGACATGTTTGCACTTACAAACGAAACGACTAAATACAAGCTCAGTCTAGGAATGTACTCAGGTATCGTGCTTGGAATGTATATGATTTTGATATACAGTATTTTGTGCTCGTGTCTTAATTATTCGTTGTATGTTTGTTCAGGTTAGCGGTTTCTTGCAAACTTGAAAACTTTTCTAGTAAGTTTCAAAAGGAGCTCAGTTACTTTCCAAACGTAGCCCCTATCTTGCACTTCATTCATGTATTCCACTCCAAACATTCCTGGTAAAATGACCTTGTATGAATCCTAGGAACTGCTGGTGACTCATTAACGTCGTTTCATCGAGACCAGCCGTTTAGCACTAGAGACCAAGATCATGATGCCGACCCAGAAAACTGCGCTGTGACCTACAGAGGAGCCTGGTGGTACTCTAATTGCCATCGTTCAAACTTGAATGGTTTTTATTACAATGGTTTACATTCATCATTTGCTGATGGTGTCAACTGGTATACATGGAAAGGATATAAGTATTCTGCCAAGAGAGCTGAGATGAAAATCAGACCGGTCAACTTTTAGAACTTTTACGGAACCCTAGGACGTCTTGTTTCCGTTATAGTTTCCAAGTAACAAACAAAATTTCATGGTAAAATGCCGTATTTACTCGAATGAGCACCGCCCTCAAATAAGTGCCGCATTTTGGACAAAAATACTGAGTTAATAGGCGCCTCCCCCAAATAAGCTGCGCGGCGCAGATGCAATCAAAACCAAAAGACGTTTCTGTCATAAAATGAAATAATATCGGTAACTGAAAAGAAGCAAAGAAGTAGCGTCCAACTTTCAAATAAGAGCCGCTTCGAATGAGCCCCACATTTGAGAAGTGAAAATTTTAATAAGCATCGCGGCGCTTAGTCGAGTAATACGGTTATGTCAAAGGAATCGGTGATTATAAAACAACTTTGACCCATTTTCATTGCCATCGCATTCTAAGGCGTCTTAGTAATACATCAGCATGCGATATCCAATGTAGGTTCGGGCATATGATTACCCGAGAGGCGGGGACTATCATATCATCCCAGGGGAACTCGAGTCTTCGAAATTACAAGGGCTTCAGTATTATTTTCCCGAAAATTTTAGATGCAATTTAACGTATTACGAAGGTGAGAATTTTTTTGATTCCTCTCTCTATCACATTTTTGAGTCCGAAATTTTAGGTCTACTTTTTTCTACGAAAAATAGCCTAATCTAGAGAGTTAAAGTGACTCGATCCGGTTATTTTGTGTGGGTACCATCCTACTTTGAAGCCCTCTGGTATCCCCACTTTTACTTTGATCGTAAGTCTAACATATAGCATGGATAACATATAGATCAATCTACAATATAGCATAAGATTTTTGGCAATCGGAGTAAATGTCACGCGGTGGTAAGTAGTAGTGATAACGAAAGAAAGAATTTTCGGATTCCTCTGTCCATCACATTTTTGAATCAAAAAATTTTAGTTTTCCTTTTTCGACGAAAAATAACCTAACCTGGTGAGTGAAATGTGAAGAATTAAACTTCAGAAAATCGTAGGAAAATTGTAAGACATAGCTTCGAAATTTGCACATGAATTGAACGACTGGAACATCTAGACATTTTTAGCGGATTCTAGGCAATATTTGCTTCTCCGAACAGATATTTTACAGAAATTAAAACAGTCGCTTTACGGACAGTTTCCTTGTCCCTGGGGAAAGCCCTTAGTACATTTTCTCTATAAAATTCAACCCATTCAATAGGGACACCCGTTAATGCGGATAACGGACACTTATTTCTTGCCCCATCAACGAACTCTTATTGAAAGCCACCATCAGCTAATGCGAACACTTCATTATCAACTGTGTGCTGTAATTGACCTTTCCTTTTTGAAAATAAAAAAGTCTTCAGTCGACAGCATGTCGATGTTCCCAGCGCTACCATACACCAAATAGGATGATTTGTAGACGTCAATTTTTGGCATCAAACGAGTTATGCAGAGAAGGGTTTTGATTAAGTAATACTGTATAAATGGGCGAGTTTTAAGTGTTTCCGTCAGACTTAAGCCGCGTACGTAATGACGGCTTTGTGAAGTCGTTAGAGATGTTATAATCAAAGGCACCCAGCGACTTTTTTCTGTAAGACAACTGTTCGAAGGAGCAAACGTTACCTTGAAATTTCTAAAGGTCAGAAAAGCTAAAAATTTCTGAATAACCGTTCCATTCGTCTAAAATATTCGGAGGTTTTCTAATAGCTTAACTACGATTTTCGTAGCTCGTGTTATTCACATTTTAATACCAAGATATTGCGATTATTGTTAAAAAAAGGTCTCCTGAAACTTTCGGTATAAAGACAAACCGTCCCCCTATAATTTTCTAATGAAAGCAAGGCTACTTCATGTCCTCAAGCTTTCGACCGGACCCGGAAGGGTAGCTAACACTTTCGGATGAGACGAAAAAGCCACCCAACTTTAGTAAGACTTTCGTGACAACCAAAGTTCCCCTAAGACATCCCAACAGATAAATAGTTTTTTAGGGCAACTCTAATTAATCAAACAGGCTTCTAAAGCATAGAGAAAACCATCTGAGACACTTTGGGTGTATTTGGAAACATTTGGTCGTTGGATGCACCTGTTTAATTTGACGATGCTTATGTCCTCTTTTATTTCTTTGGTATTTTGTTCTAGTCCTCTAGTAAAAGAGGTTTTTTTGACTTTTGTTGTGGAGTATTTTGAAAGTTATTTTTAAGACGGATCTATCTTATCTTTTAAGTTTAGTTTTGGTTTCATTAAGTCTTGTATTTGTCCACGTACTGTTTTCCTGTTTTGATCTTTTGTTTTTACTTGTACTTGAAGTTATGCTTAGCTAGCGAATTTACTTATTGCCATATTAGGAATGTTATTCGCTTGGCATTGGCAGATGTTAGTTTTTTACCAGGTGGACATGTTTGTGGTGTTAGAGCTGACGTTAGTTCTTTGGTACTTGTCAGTTGCTGCTGTGCGTAGGCCAATCTATTCCCTAACAATAGCAAACATGTTGCAATGTTCGCGATAAGATATACAATAGAAACTCTTCCGGTCAGCTAAACCAAACATGTCCACCTTTGGCTATTAAAACCGCTACTATACTTGAACTTGTAAGTAGAGTAAAAGTAGGGAAGTTGGTAGAAGTAAGTTAGTGAAAAAGTGGAAGAGTTAGAAGATTAAGAAGAATGTAAGCAAGATGTAAATCAGATCTTGTCAGTTGCGGCTGTGCGTAGGCTAGTCTATTCCCTAACAATAGCAAACCTGTTGCAATGTTCGCGATAAGATATACAATAGAAACTCTTTCGGTCAGCTAAACCAAACATGTTCACTTTTGGCTATTAAAACCGCTATTATACTTGAACTTGTAAGTAGAGTAAAAGTAAGGAAGTTGTTAGAAGTAGGTTAGTGAAAAAGTGGAAGAGTTAGAAGATTAAGAAGAATGTAAGCAAGATGTAAATCAGATCTCTGGTACCTCATCGTGTAGTGTAGATTTATATTAATGAAAGTATCAATATCCACCTACACCACCACGTACACACGCTTTGGGATCTGACAGTCTTTATTACAACAAGAACACTTAAACGAAAGTAAATACACCCGAGAGAACTGATTAAAACAAATGCTTAAAACTACAGTCAAATCATATATAAGCCCTAACCCAAGTGAGTAGTGAAACATGTCATGGTTATGTGGAATAAGATAAAGTGGATTTACAGAGCAGGTTAGCGGTTTTTAGTCGGATTGTGGATTCTGCAAACAGCTGCGACCGATAAAACGTGCACTTTTTCCGACAACCTTTCTCGAAATAGCTGTATACAAATATTGTTAGTTCATTCAATTTGTTATACAAAGGAGATATCGCAAACAATATTTTCACCGAAATGTTATATATTCGCTCACTTTATTAATTTGTAAAGATATTGTCAATAAGCGTTAATGAATTGCACTGAAACACTCCTTTCGGCTTGTAAATTGTCAGTAGAAGGGTGATGCTATAACAATCAACAGCTTCGCCTTCAAAATAGTCTAAAAAAGGTTCCGCAGTATTAGTATAGGTAATAGCATGATTTGTAGTGATATGTGGCATAAATGCCACGAGTGATATTTCGAAATTGTTATACGTTATTTGAGACAATTTTGAAATATCACGAGTGGTATTTAAACCAAATGCCGGTCACGTACAAGTCATGCTATTATTTGTTTCGCTACTACCCACAAAAGGCTTGTAATTTTCACATGTAAGTATTTCAAATTAGGCTGAAATGCCACTTCTCTAAGCCAATCAAATTGCAAAAAATTCTCATGTAGTAGTATAATATCACTCTATAGAAAACGGCAAAGGTACATTTGTAATATATTACTTTGCTTTGTAAATTGTAGTTCAATCCGTTTAGGAGCCTGAAATGCGTCAATAAGAGATCTTTCCATGACTTTTAGTTTCATAAATATGCCGCCTATATATTATCCAGCACCTCCAGCAAAGAGGCGTTGGAACAAACTCAAACTCAGGACCTATTTACATGGTGGTGAGGTACCCCAGATAGGTGAGGTAACATGTGGTGGGTCACTCAACCTATCATATAAACGCGATCCAATTAAAATGAGAGATTATATGGACAGGCGGGTTACCCCTTACCCATATAAACAGGCTCCTCAATTTGGTATAGTTTGGTTACGTAACAATTCAATTCAATTCAATTCATTGTTTATTCGCACTGTTTCCATAGATTACATATTGCACATTTTTTAAAGAAAAGAAGAAAGCAAACATATTAGTAATAACAAGAAGGGAAACATTGTCAGTTAGTGCACAGCAACTAGAGGAGCTAAGGCTTTCGAGCTGGTTGCCGTAATGATAGAATAATATATGTAGATCTGGCTCTCAAGTTATCTATCACGTTAAGGGTATGTCATTCCATTCTTGGTCACTTAACACTAAAAAAATCGAGTTTGTAGGGCGCTCTAAAAGAATTAGGAGGTAATAATTTTAGGGACACAGTTATCGACTACCAGAGCTTAGAGACAAAAAATTTAAATGAAAATTTACCATAATTTGTTCTAGCATGTATTCTATAACAATTATCTTGGGTTGTATATCTTGTACTGTGGGAGTGTATGATAGCCTGCGAACCGCAGACGTACGTCTGCGGTTCGCAGGCTAAGTGTATGTAGGATACTGGTAAAAGAAGTTCAGAGAACAAGTGGCCCTTGTTTCTGATTTGGCTGATAAAAGTTGCTATTTTCAGTTTTATTAGGTTTTCAAGTTGCGAGATCCGAAGCAGTTTAAGATATGGACCTAGATTCTCTTGTCTTGGAAATCTAGAATCGACATCAGGATTTAAAGGTAGTTTCTGAAGCGTGAAAAGACTTCACAATCATCATGCAATTGGAAAGGGAAGGGCAGATAGAGCAGATAGAGTTTCAGATGGAGCTCTTAATATACATCAGCGTTACCATGAGCTCTTAGCGGTACCTGCGTGAGCCAGGGTATGTTTAGCAGTTATAGGTTTTGTAGCCAGCCATGAATATTTCTATGGTTAAA